AGAGCAAATATGCCAGGGGAAGCTGCAGATAAGTGAAGGGTGGCGACTAGTGAGCAAGGGGAAGCGCCAGATAAATGAGGGGATGCAACAAATAAGTGAGGGGAAACGGCAGATAATTGAAGGGCAAAGGAAAATAACAGAAGGGAAGCAGTCATTAGGTGTGCTGGACGACGCGGCTGATGTGCTGGACAACGGGGATGGCGTGCTGGGCAACGGGGATGGCGTGCTGGGCAACGAAGCAGTTGGCAAAGAGCAACTGGCAGGTGGGAAAAATGATCGAAGAGACAAAAGCCCCAAGTTGAAGACAAACATAAAAGCGGATTGCGCAGCTGTTGGCACGTCCTCCAAAGGAGAAAATAGGAACAACAAAAAAAGAAATGACGTAGGAGGGAACGTTTTAAATGCCGAAGATGTGGAGAGAAGCCCAGTCAGAGCGGAGCAAACAATGAGGGAGCGGCCGGAGGGAGAAGCCAAAGGGTTAATATTCCCATCAGACATCAAGTTAATATACGGAAGCATAACCATAACAGACAGAAAGGAAAATCCAAATGTAAAGAAAAAAGTTACCGCACTGTTTAGCAAAAACTTATATGACGTAGTGTTGCTTTATTACGAAATGCACTTTTACAACAACATCGATTCGTTCCAAGTGGATGTGAATGTGTACGAAATTTATAACGATTTGATCTGCTTGATTGACGAGCTGTATAGCATGTATATTATCGACTCGGAGAAGAAGCAGAGCTGCTACGTGTCTGGGGATATGGTCGAGAGGTATCTTAGTAGGGAGTTGTCCGGGGGGTGGACAGAAAGGACTCAGGAAGAGCTGTTGCAGGAGTACTACATTTTGAAGGGGGACAGAAATATACTCTTCATAAATTTCAAGCTAATGAAGATGGTGTATTTATCCGCCGTGTTCGACCTTGAGTTTTTTGGCGACGTGTGCCAGGAGAGGGTTTTCCTCTCGGAGGGGGGCCCCATTAGCGGGGATAAAGGCGTTCACGGCAGTAGCGGCGTTGACTCTGTTCGCGGGTGTAGCAGCGACATCGACGTTTGCAGCGTCAGCTGCAGTAGCGGTGACACCCCTGTAGACAACGGCGACCGGCGCGCTGCACCACCAGGCAGAGCAATCGAGGCCCCCTGGCATGATAACCGAGGTGAAAAGAAGAAGAGTAATAAAAAAAAAGGCATATCGAAAAGGGCGGACAGGAGAAGTGACAGAAGGGAAATCACGAGCCCTGTGCTGAAGTCCGAAGCGCTGCGACACCAGGATGGGAAGAGTATGGAAGCAAATGCGGGCCGGGAGGACGAAGAAGAGGAAGTATTTCCTATTGAGGAAACCTCCCCCGTTGAGGAAGCCCCTCCTTTCGAGGAAAGCTACATCCGAGAAGACCAGAAACTGTGCTACCGCATTTTGTGTGACGAGCAACCATACAAGGCCCTGCTGATAAAAGACGAGCTTAACCTGAGTTCGTCGGACGATGGGGATAGCTACCATGAGGGGGCTACCACCTCCGTAAAGGAAGTCACCTCGTCGAGTCCCTTGAGGGGTGTAGAGCAAAACAGGGCTACCGCTCTAAGCATTGACAGCAGCGTGAATTTAGGGAGTTTGGCCAACTTGACCATCTCGTCTAACATTACCAGCTTGGGGAACGTTTTAAGCTGCGCCTCCGCGGAAGGGTCCCACCCGGCCAGCAGCGAAAACGAGAGGGATAGCATCACGCAAGGGAGACACAGCCGTGTATACACCAAGTCGAAAAGGAACAAAGGGATACTCTCCTATGCATCTCCACATGAGAAGTCAATTAGTATCCCCAAAGATATCCTAAACATAACATCTTTGTTGAGCACCCCCATTTTATCACTCAGCAATCTGAAGAGCCTAAATCAGGTGAATTTTTCATACGGTTATAGTAGAACGAAGAAAGAGCTGTATAACTATTGTTATGCTTACCTAGTGAGCATACATAATGGGTATGACGTTATCCCCATGGAGGGATATAAATTCAGACCCATCATAATTGATGGTGCAAATGTGTCAGCCAAGGTTATCCATAAACCGATTTCCAATGTGGTAGATAGCGATATGTCCATAATATATGACTGCTTCTTATTACATGAGGCATATGTGTTTTTTAAAAGAAAAAAAGTGGATGATATTATCATTGTTTTAAACCCTGTGACGAAGAAGGGGGAGGAGTATTTTTTGGGAAACAAGAAAGTGTGCAATTATTCCTATTTAGAAAGCTTAATAAAGCAGAATGCCATACTGATTTGCAACGAGAAGTATTACCACAGTTACAAGGGGGACGTCGTGAAACGGCGCACGTACGACGACGTGTTGATCCTGGAGCTGGCCTCTCACAGAAGTAGGTGTGCGGCGGTTGAAACGCAGCAAAATGCGCGAGTGGGCGAATATGCACGGTTTCCAAGCGAGGCTGCGCCGTTCATTCGGTCATTTTTGCCCTCACAGGCGTGCGCTAATATTCAATATTTTTCTTTTTATTTATTTATTTTTTTCTTTTTTCGCCCCACCTCCACAGATGGCTGCGTCATCTCTAATGACAACTACACGGACATAGAGGCAGACACCGCGTGCGAAGAGATAAAGCACGTTATATCGCATTACGTCGTGAAGCATCATTACGACAAGCACACTGGATTCGGCTTGGACATGACGAAGAAGCCTTTGAAATTTGTCTTAAATTCTCTCTTCCAGAAAATTGATTAATTATGCCTTCGGTTTTGGGGCATCCGGGGGGTGTCGTCCCCGTTTACGCCCTTTGTTGCGTCCATTTTTATGTCAATTTCGCTCCCGCGGTTACGTCCATCGTATGGCCTCTGCCGAGGGGGAACATTTTTTTCATCTTTAAAAAGGAGTTCGTGAACAAACGCGTTTGATTTCACCAGAGCGCTCACATGCGCGAGTGGGAGGTGATAGGTACGTCAAGGAGGACTATGCGAGTGGGAAAGTCAGTAAAGGCTTCTCCTCAAAGGGTGCACTACGTCGGCGCAAAGCGACTCTGTTTTTCCACATCAGGAAAGTCACGCACACAATGCCCCAGTGGAAAGTGCTAAACGGGTGGGCTGAACGGACCCTTTTTCGTAAACTGAGTGGACACTCGTAGGCGGCGCCACTGTTTGGTTGGTTACTCCTGTTTGGTCTCCCCTTTGGGTGGAGCTAGTGAGATATGTCCTCTGGCCAAAACACATGCGAAGAACAGGGGAGGGGTATAATAGCTTCCCTTTTCTTGCAACTAAAAATTGTTCTTCAATTCCCGTAACTTATCCAATATCTTTACCTCATCCGTCATGTTGAACTTGTCAGTGTAATGACTGGTCCTGAAAAAGGGATTGATCTGGTTTTCCTCTTCGATAGTGGATGGGACGGATGGCTTTTTGCTGTTGACTTTTTCTTCTACCTCCTTCAATTTGTTCTTCATGTGTTCGTTGTCGTTTTCGATGCTCATGGCGAATCTGCGGTTGGGGGAAAAGGGTGCGGTTTAGCTTGCCCTGCGGTGTTGAAGCGGTGTTGAAGCTGGGAAGGCGCGGCCAGCTAGGACATTCACACATTGGTACATTTGCATGCTGCATGAATAGTGTTCCGCAGGGGCAGTTCGAGGAGCTTGGCCAGTTTTCTTTTTTTTTTCCCTTTTTTTTTTTATCTTTTTCCCCTTTTTTCCCGATTCTTTCCCCTTTCGGATGTACCTCAAATTGTTGAGGGTGTATTCATGTCCGCAGTAAATGAGCGTCTCCTTCCGATAACCTTTAACCTTTTGGATATTCTTAAACATGTCCCTGGCGCTGCCCTCGAAGAATCTGCCACACCCGGCAATAAATAGGGTGTCTCCAGTGAACAAAATGGGGGCGTAATTGTTATCTTCGTTTTTCTGGTCATCCATTTTGTACACGTAATACATGATGTGTCCCTTGGTGTGACAGGGCGCGTGGATGGCCTTTACGCACAGCTCGCCTGGGAAAGAGAGGTGTCAGAAGAGTGGTGTGAGAAGTGAGGCGGGAGTAGGCATAACGGTACAGCAGTATTGGGGGGGCAAAACTTTGGTAGTGAGCCCCCCTCAGGGCTTCTCCAAAGTCAAGCTTTCTTCGGGCAGGTTTCCTTCCCATCCGCTGATTTATTTGAACTACCTAGACGGACAATCTGGCTGTCGTAAACCTTTTCACTAACACCGGGAGTCGATTCGTACGCCGACCCGACGACTTTAATTTTTTTCCTCAGCTCTTTCATGCGTATGTTTCCTCCTAAGTGAAGAAAACGGGGAAAGGGATTACACAAATGAGGGGTTAAAGAAACATACAAATGGATAGGGGCAACCTGCAGTTGGAACCGAGCACATCAGCTTTTCCCCAAAGGTGCGTAACCGCGCCACACTTTTTAAAAAAAAAAAAAGAGAGAAAAAAAAAGTATGTCATCCTAATCTGACCCCACCCATTCGAGGTGCTCTCGAGGACACCCCACAACAGAGGCACCATTTTTGCTTTACCTGAATGGTCATAATGGTGATGCGTGCAGAGGACGTATTCCAAATCGACATTCAAGTTCTCGATTTTTCTGAGTATCTGAGGCAGATGCGAGGGGTTAAAAAGACATGCCAACGAGGGACCAAACAAATAAGATGTCAACGGGGGACCAAACAAATAACATGTGAACGAAGAACGACACAAATAACGTCGCCACATCGAATCACATAAAAACTGTGCTGACTTGTTGGCTACCTTTTCTGGCTCCACAGGGTCTACACATGCAGCCTTCTTCGTTTTTCTAAATGGGGGAGAGGGAAAATCCAAGCGTATATGTGGGGGGTGCAAGCGAATGCTCCTCAGTACATGCAGTGCTTTAACGGTGGAAACAGTCACATCAAAGTGGACATTCATATACTCTCGTGGTAAAGATTTTGTAAATATGTTCTTCCTTTTTTTTTCTTTTGCCCTTTCGTTTTACTCATCTATTATGACGTAAGCGAAGTTGTCATGCAGCGACGGGACGACAAGCACCTCTGCGCTTGCCTGCGGGGGGGAGAAGACAGAGAAAAGAAAGAAAAAAAAAAAATGAAGTCAACTTGAGGATGATCAGAGGGAAGGCACAAGACGCTGAAATGTGTTAGAGAAGGATAGAGCGAAGATTGGCAGGAGAAAGAAATAAAACCTGATGCAACATGTTGCAACGGTCTGTAGTAGGCTAGACGGGATTGTTTCGTGGCTATCATTTTCACCAGTACAATTTTGCGAAACGTTTATTCTTTTTTTTTGAGACCATGCATATGAATGAGCTGTTACACGTGGCAGAGCAGATATAGCCCAAGTCTATAACACGGGAAAAGTTCCCCCTCTGACGTGGTGGACGTGCCAGTACTGACATGCAGCATGGGATGACATTAGTCAAAAGTAGTTACTCTACATGTATCGCCAGATGTGGATGATAGATAAAAAAAAAAGGGCGAATAAATAAGTACCTTCATTTTGTTTGGAGAAATCTGCGCGAGAGGACGAGGGACGGGGGAGGAAGAATCTTTTTCAAAAAGGTGGGTAAGAGTTTAGGGTATGGGTTTAGGGCAGGGGTGAGGCTAAACTATCTCAGGGGGTCCTCTTTTATTGTAACGGGAAGAATTTTTTTTTACATAGAATTTGTTTTATATGATGAAAGAATTCATCAGTGGGGGGAAGTACTCTCTTGTAGCGAAAAGGAAGAAAGGGAAGTGACGACCGCGGGGGGGATGAAACAAACACTCGCGGGGGATTTCTAAGAAGGGCGCTAATAACATAGAGTGTACATCCGTGCAGCCGTTACATATATGTTGGATGTACTTATGCCAACCCGCAGGTGTATGTACCATTTGTACATGCGACAAAAGCGTCACCGCTATTTCGCATGCACCATAAGTTTCACCGAAAAAATGTCAAGGCAACGTGCCTCAGTAAAGGGTAGAGGTTCAACCTGCATTCTTTGCGGCTATTTCTATGACATGCATATTTGGGGGTGGTTACCACTATGCATGCTTCTTTCTTTTTTTTTCTTTTTTTTTTTTAAGTGCATTTTTGTTCCACGCCCAAGTTGATCATTACGCATGGAAAATGTGCCATTTTAGCCGTACGAATAAATTGACCCGAAGTGGCCTCCTCGTATCTGTAGGGAAAACGCATTGGAGTTTTTTTATCCCAAAAATCTCCGGACGTTCTTAAGTGTCCTTTTGTGTCGCTTCATGGGGCTAGCAGCCAGAAGAGGGAATAAAATGAAGGCAATTCGTAAGATAAGCCGAAATTACATTACGCTTAACTGTACCACCGCGGGTGCAACGTGGTTTGAAGAGGAAGAAGCCACACCGCATGGCTCAGGTCAAGCAGCGCGCGTAGCATTACCCAGGAAGACATCAACACCGTTTCACACAAGACACTGTTGCATTCCAAACATGTTGCAACCCTCAACTATGTAGAACCCAAAAGTGATTATTTTCTTGCAGCATGATCATCGCTTATTTACTGCTTCTTCTCTTCGTGCATACAAATGTGGTAATATCGATTTTCAGTGTTACGCTTTACCCGCGCGGTGAAAAAAATTTTTGGGACCTTCCGGTGAAGTGTACGAACGTGGTGCACGAAAAGGAAAGATATATGTCGAACATTTCGTGCATCTACAACTGTAAGGTTAGGGGTGTATGTACCTCTTTATGCAACGGTAGCGCTGCACGACTGACCACGCCGATGCATCTTACAAAAATAGGAGAAGATATACACCACGTTTAAGTGCACCTTCGGGGTTGCCGCAAAATGGCGTACTATACACACCCGTTGGGCTGATAATACTTCATTTAAAAAAAATTTAAGGAGTGGGGGAAAAAAGGGAGAAGACGCAACATGTAGGTGTATTTACGTGTTCACTGGTTCGTGCGCACAGGAGGGAATCCCCCCCCTTGATGGATGGAAATGTAGCAAGTTGCATAATGCCCATCTCAGGTGTGAAAAGAAAGTGAACATATATTGGGATTAAAAAAAAAAAAAGAAAAAAAAAAAAGCTTCAAGTGGCTGGTGTTTTTTTTTTTTTTTTTTTTTCTCTTTGTTCATTCGACGCCATCTTCTGGGTATCACTATACATACGTTTTATTCCCCCGATTAGAATTTTCCCTTTTTGGGTTCTGGAGTTAGCTGCTCTGAGTTGTCCAATTCGTCTTCTTTAAATCCCTTTTTTTTGCTGTATCCTATTAGCCCAGATAATAATACCAACAGAACCATATTAATAACGGTTGTGCTGATTATTATCTTCCTGTTGGTTGTCGTTTTTTTTTCTAAGTTATGTGCAAAGTTTTTCAGTTCTTGTAAAGCGTTTTCGGCATCAAAGGGGGCGTTGTTTTCTCCTCCATCTTTTTTGGGTAGATCGATATCTGAGTTATTTCCTGAGGGTACAGAAGGCGGTACCTCTCCTCCTTTTGTTTTTTTATTTTCATCTGCATTCACCTGAGAGATTGCAGAATTTAGCAGGACACACAACAGGAAGATTAGCGAGAAGGATGTCATGAAGCTTTTGGCGTTCATTTTCGGGGGCACTTTCTATCGAGGTGTTCTTCGTTGGTCTGTTTTGTTTCGCTTGGGGAGTGTCAGTAGGCAGGGCAATCTATGTATGTGTACGTGCGATGCACAGGGGGCTCTGTTGGGGGAGTCGCGACGAGGGAAACTTCGTGGGATGCTACGTCGGATGTTACGTGGGATGTTACGTCGGATGTTACGTCGGATGATAGGTGGGATACTACGTGAGATGCTACGTGGGCCGATTTGTCTGTCACAGAAATGGACAATCGCGCTGAGCGTTCTTCAGCTTTACAAGGGAACATGCGAAGTGAGAATAGCGTGCGTGTGTGTGAGTTTACGATTTGAGAAAACAAAGAAAGGGGAAAAACTGAAATGGGAAATGGAAAATTCTGAAAAAGGGAAGAAACTGGGATTAACAATCGCCAACTGGGCAGACTGGGCAAACTAAGCAAAATGGGCGAACTTTTCAAAGTGGACGAAGGGTGCGAGGCGAAGTGTGCAAAGTAAGCAAATTGAGCAGACGGAACAAACTTGGAGAAATAAATGATACCACCTTTGCGTGCAATTGCGCGTTCGAATTCCCGCGAAAGCGAAGTCACGCACGTGAAAGGAAATCGAGCGTAGGTAGCGATTTTGCGAATGAAAAAGCAGCGGAAAAGAGTTAATTGGGAACGGTCATTTTTAAGCACTCCATAATTCTCCTTTCAGTCTTTCCTTGCATTCTTTGACATTTTTTTTTTTTTTTGGGGGGGCGAGTGGGGGAGGCTGTATCCCTCCTTTCCGGGTGTGTCTAATTTGGTTTTCCCCCTTTTCCGTCAGAAGAAGAAAAAAAGGAAAACTTTTTTTTCGTGCATAGTGATACATGCGCGTGCAAATGTGTGTGTGCATAGTAGCACCCATTTGTGCAGTTGAGTATACAATTGAGTA